TACTGTCTGCATGGTTAGAGACTTCAGGGAAGTTCACCCTTTGACCACTAGGGGACATACAATCTGGGTAGGCACTTCAGGGAAATTCCTTCCTTGGCTTCCAGGAGATGCTTTGCATAGGTAAATGCAAGCCTGTTATTTGCTGATCAGCCACTGGGGTGCTCTGTCCATCAGTAGAGGCACCACTTGGGGGTGCTGCTTGCGTGCATGGGTACTTCAGCAAAGTTCACACTTTGACCACTGTGTGCATATTTAAAGGCTTCTGTGTGCATATTTAAAGGCTTCTGTGTGCATATTTAAAGGCTTCCGTGAAGTTCCTTCTTTAACCACTTGGGGATGCTCTCTGTACGTGGGCAGAAGCAAGCTTGCTGTTTCAGGTGACTACTACTCAGTGTTGCTTCTAGATATCGCTTGGAGGGAAGTCAGCCAAATTCTGTCTTCTTAGAACCACAAGGTGTAAGCCGGTCCGGAGATTACTGAGGAACTGACTTTCCTCATGAATATCCACCTGGGCTGTGAAGCCTTGTGATAATAACAAAGATTAATTTGTGCTTTGGTTCTCCTTAATTTGCACTGAGTAGGTTTTCATAAACAGCTTAGCTCAGGCTATATTTGCTGACAAGTTGAATTCAGGCTTTGTTTGCAGATTGGCCATCAGAGGGCTCTTGCTGCAGTTAACATAAATGCAGGCTTGTAGTTTGTAGGTTGGCCACCAGAGGGTCTTATTTATTTATTTATTTAATTTATATGCCGCCCAATCCCAAAGGACTCTTGCTGCATTGAGACTATGCTTAGAATAAACTTTGCTGTTTAATCCCTTCTAGACATTGTAATTTTTTTTCTGGGATTTTAAAAGTCTGTTTTCCATATATTGGGTATCAAATTAGGTATTTTTCTTCTTTATAAAGGAACTCAATCTTTATATTTTCTTTCTATCTCTGGGTTTTCTATTTCTCTCTCCAGAGCTAGGGCTGGCATTTGCCCAAGTTTGAATCAAATGCTTCTTTCCCCATCCAAATTCTTTTAATTCCAAGAGGAGGGGGAGTGAGTCAGCTTCTTCCCACCGGTTGCTTGGTTGCCATGACAATTAATTGTTTCATTACTCTCCTTGACAACAGATCAATTTATGGTCTGGGCTGCGAGCAAGAGCAGAATGCTTACTTTGTGGCCTTATGGAGTGGCTTTTTACACAAAGGAAATCAGCATTCTCTGGCAAGCTGTTTCAGACAGATGAACAAGTAGAGAACTGGCTATTGCAGGGAATACTGCACACAGATGTCAGCACACAGCACACATTAAGTCGCTTCCCAGCCACTTAATGAAGATATAGCTTTTGCCAGACACATAAAGAGTTAATAGTCTCTTCTTATTCAGCTTAACACCCTCCAAGTAAATGCATGAAGCTTGCTTCAACGGTGCTAAATTTGCAGGCGGGAGTGTCGCTGCCTGTTCTATAAGATGTTTTTAGACAAAGGCAACATAAGTCTTTGAAATGCTGTCTCCCAGATATCAAGCAGAGAAAACATGCATTAAAGAAACTTTTGGGAGGGTTGCTAGCGAGCAGCCAGATAAAGATGCAGCTTTAATCAGGCAGAAAATGGCAAGCATGCTTTTTTTGGAGCAGACATTAATCTTTTTTCTTTACTTTGCAACGTTGGCTAGCGGACAGAAAATACTGCTTTTTACTTGCAAGGATGCAATCTACTAGCTTTAATTTTTCACTTTGCCTGCCAGCAGAGATGAAGATTAAATACTGTTTTTTACTTTAATGAAGAGAAAAACAAGTATTGTTCATTTACTATTCTGCCTCATGCACAATAAGCTGCTAGGTTCCATTGAGACAGACAGATAACTCACTGGAATAAGTCAAAACAAAGATTACTTTTATTCTAGGTATCCTCAAACATTAACTCACGTTTATGTAGAAGTTCTTCCAGAATATAGGCAGTAATATGGACTCATTTCACAGATAAATGAACAATGGATTTTCCCTCTTCTGCGTACAAGTTACATGTTTTGGCATGGAGCTTCCAGCCATGCGGCTGGAATCCATGCAGAAAGATAATACAAAGGCCCAAAGGCGTGTAACAGGAAGTCCTGCAATAACTTTTAACTCCTCCCACTGACTAGATAAACTATAGGATTAACTGACCACCAAAACTACATTACCCCATAAGCCATCTCTTAAGGAAACAGCGTTTAACCCTTTAAATGCTAAACATTCTAACATGCAATTCTTAAGCTAACTGACTGGTCCAGCACGCTAAAGGAACACATGCTTTGGGATATTCTGGGAATTGTCTTTATGTGGTCTTTTCCTATTGGTTGATGGATGTGTTGATGGCTGGTGATTGGCTGTTGCTTCCTTGTGCTGCCAAGTCCTCAGCTCCTAAGTATTTGATAAGCTGCTGGTAAATCCGCATTCCAGTTAACCGAGAAGAGGCTCATTTCCCAGGCTTCAATCATATTCCTGGCTATTTTTGAACTTTTGTATCTGTGAAATTAAACATGTGTCCTTCTTCATTGCAATGTGAGGCTACCAATGACTTTATGTCTCCTCATCCAATGACTCGGTTATGTTCTTGCAGTCTGGTGGTTAGCTTCCTCCCCATTTATCCTACATAGTCACAGGGACAATCCATGTAGGAGATCCGGTAGATTACATTGGAAGTATCTCCCACCTCCAAGTGATTCTTACAATGCATGATATGTCCTCATATGATAGCCTCTGGACAGTCTAAGATACCCACTTGCAGATCTCAGAAGCTGCATCCTACTGTTTCCAACATGTTTTTGATATATGGAAGGTGTGCCATGTAGTTGGTCTTTTATCTTTTTTCTTTCCTTTGCATTTTGCACAGGAATCTTGTAATAATTTTTATACCACTTTGGGTACTTCACTCTAGCCTGCCTTACATTCTTCATTCCCATGTTGACTGGGTTTCATATGAAGTTCAGCCATGACATTCCCTCTGGTATAAATCCCATAATAAGATAAGGTAAGGTAAGGTAGGGTAGGGTAGGAGAGGATAGGGTAGAATAGGATAACCTTTATTATCACTTTTTTTTGTGAACACATTGGAACAAATTAAAAAATGTCGAATGCCTAATCTCAAAAGAAAATAAATATATAACCATACACATACATGCACACCCATATACATATACATATATGTATATACATAGATTAATTCTATATATGATTAACATATACATATAAATTAATCACAGTCCATTTTGAATACAAAGTGGGGAAAGAGTCTTGAGAGTTAACAAGGTTGATACTATATGGTACAAATCTATTACAGAATCTAGTTGTTCTGCTTCAGATAGCACAAAACAAAGAAACAAAGAAAATGGTCATGGAGAGGACAGTACTAAAGCAGCCCTCATATGCCATGTCCTGAATAGAAGGAAGTGAACATCCAATAATCTGTGCTGCTGTCTTCACTGCTTTCTGCACAGCCTTTCTATCCAAAACAGTAATACTTCCAAACCACACAGCAGTTAAGTATCCCTAATGAGGGATATTTAATTCTTATACACAAAGATGCTTCCAATGATGGTGCCTGGCTGAAGTTCCCCCTCCTTCTTTCTCACTTTCTTCAAAGCCATGTATATCTGCAACTGTTCCATTACATAAGCTATATCTGCAACTGTTCCATTACACAAGCAAGAGTCCATGCCTTTATCCATTGTAGGTTGAGTCTTCTTCCTTCCCCTTCCCTTAATTCCATTGCAGAAGATTTGCATTATGTAGACTACTCTTCTGCACTACAAGCACAGTTTTTGTTTTGCTTGCACCTCTGGCAGCTCCCTATGCTCAGGGGAAAAGAGGTACTTGGTCTCTCACATAGAGACAAAGTCTAGAACTGATCAGAAGCAGCTAGAAAAGTAGGAGACTGCTCCCCTCCCATCTGGAATTCAAGGCTGCATTATACCATTGTTCTGTGAGCTGCATTGCTTGCTGGTTTGCTTCTGGGAGCAATTCTAGGTGTTGGTAATCACCTTTAACGTCCTTCATGGCATGGCTCCAGGTTACTTGAGAAACTGCCCATCACAAAGGGATTGGTCTGCCCTGCCCATGCCTACAGAGGAGCCATGCTATGGGCCCATCAGCCAAGGAAGAGTTTTATGACGATGTGGCCCACCTTCAAGGCAAAGAAAAATGCCGATACAAAATACTAATGGATGATTTTAATGCAAGAATAGGAAGAATAATACCTGGAGAAAAAGCAACTAGCCCATATGGAAGTGATGAATGAGATAACAGAGGGACAGACTAATAGATTTTGCTGAACTCATTTTACAAGAAAAAAGCTAGCAGAAAGTGGACATGGAAGAATCCACCTGGCATACAAGTGAAATTGACTACATCATGTCAAACAATAAAACCATATTCTGCAATTGTATCATCATCAATCATTTGAACATTGGAAGTGACCATAGAATGGTAGGAGCTAAATGAATATAGACAGTTGAAAAGAGTCTATGAAAATAATAAAGACATCATGGAAAACAAAAATTAAGAGTGATAAACTGTTAGAGGAGAACAGTGATTTTGAGATTAATCTATCAATTGGCCTTGATGATCTTAAAGTGGAAACCCACATAGAACGAGGTGTACAATAAGGCAAACAATATCACCTATCCTTTTCTCAGTCCGTCTTGAATAAGTATTTCACAAACTAGACTGGGCAAAAGATGGAATAAAAATCAATGATGCCTATTTAAATCACTTAAGTTTTGCAGATGATATTGTTCTCTTCTCACAAAACCCAGAAGAGCTACAAAGATGCATGCAACTGCTGCACAAAGCAGGAGAACCATTTGGTTTACAAATAAACCTGAAAAAGAGCCAGGTTTTGTTTAATAAGTTCACCAAAGAAAGAAAAAATATGTCTGGAGAAGAACTAGACATAGTAGACCACTACATATATGTCAACAGTCCAACTAACAAACCCAACAAAAAGAATCCTCAAGGCAATTATGTCCCAGCAGGCAAATGTTTATTGGGTACATCATTTCAGAACTGAAGAAGCAAAACCAACTCTGAGGTTTCCTGCATGAAAGTTTGCTTAGTTAAACATTAGATCCCCATTTCCCCTACCATCTGGGTATTCACATTGTCCAATAGTAATATTTCTTTTTCTATGGGAACGGGTCACTTCTTCATCAAGCACCTGCGGCAATGACCTTGGCATGGTGCAGGCTCTCACGGTCCATGAACAGCTTCTTAGCATTCCATTCTACTTCCTCTCCCTTTTTCTTTGGCAAGTTGATGAATCTAAGAGGCATAATAACAATTAATCTTGACATGTTGACACCCCAAAAGAAGGGCAGACCTGGGGAAACATCAAACACAAATTATCATCATTTATCATTAACACTCAATTATGTTTTTGGATTTGAAGGTATCATGGAATTTTCTTATTAACCGGTCTGTATTAATATTATGAGTGGCCACCCATTCTGCATCTGCTAAGGGATATCCTTTCCACTCTACTAAATACTGCAGTTTCCCTTTAAAGAATTGTAAGTCCAGTATTCTCTTAACCTTGTAATAGTCCTCACCCCCCACCATAACTGGGGGAAGAGGCTCCTATTCAATTAGCCTTAGGCCAGAGTCTTGAAATGATTTCAACAACTGAACACCGGATGGACCCATCTCAAACTTTTTGGCAATCTTAGCTAGACCATAACTGGGTTTATACTTCAAACAATCAGAAAAGGCCCTACATACTTAGGGCTTAGTTTCTTACAGGGCTGCCTCAGCTTAAGATATTTGGTGGATACCTTATCCCCAATGCTAAACTTCTTCTGGAGACTTCTTTTCCGATCATCCTGTTTCTTTTTATTATTAAAAAGTTTTTATTTTCCATTTATTCATACAAAATACAATTCAATTAAAATAAATTCCTAACCATTGGTACCGCCTGCCCATTCCCCCCAGGCCGCCTCCATCCTCTGTAATCCTTCCCTACTTCCCCCCTCTTTCTCTCCTCCCTTCCTACTCTCTTCCCCTCCCCTTCTCCTCTAACCATCCTTCCTCCCCCCTACTCCTTCCTCCCCTCTCATCCCTCTCACACACATGAACGCAGCATAGGGGAAATGCCCAAGCATTTACCATGACTATATTATCATTACCACCCGCTCACCCACCCATCCACCCTCAACCCTCCCCCCTCGCTTCCCAGAGCAGAGTACAGGGTTATTAATAAGAAAGTAAACAATAATAAAAAAGAAAAGAAAGAAAAAAGAAAAAAAGAAAAAACCCATTATACTTAACCTTTAACTCCCCTTAAATTAAGTCATCCTGTTTCTTGTATGATTCCCTGGCCTTCTTCAATGCTTTTTGTATATACCCCCTAAGCGGCTTTTAGGATCTCCATCCACTCAGCTACCGACACTGAGGAGGAAGATTCTCTCGGAAGTTCTGGCATTGGAATGAATTCTATTCCTGTAGCTATTTTAAATGGGGTCAACTTAGTACTACTATGTACCGAGTTGTTATATGCCCCTACTGTGAAAGGCAGTAGCTCCACCCAATTAGTTTGCTGATAATTTGCTTAGCAGCATAAATATTGCTCTATCAATGAATTCACCTTTTTAGCTGCTCCATTAGTACTAGGATGAAACCTAGTTAGGATCTATCTAGTGTAGTGGTTCTCAACCTGTGGGTCATGACCCCATTTGGGGTAGAATGACCATTTCACGGGGGTCGCCAAACAACGCAGTCTGCCATTTTTTCCCCCTTTTCCTTAGCTGTGCTACTCTCTCTTATTCTATTGGCTTTTGAAAGCCAATTAAATAGACTCTATTCAAGAGACTCTATTCTATTGGCATTCAAAAGCCAATAGAATAGACTCTCTTGAATAGAGTCTAATTCTATTGGCTTTCAAAAGCCAATAGGAATTGTCCAGGCTGTCTCTGCCCTGCTGAGCCCGCCAAAAGTCCCAGTCTGCAAACGGTGCTGCAAGTTGTCTGCAGCTAAGGTGAGCTTTCTGGACGTTTCCACCCCTCGCTGCTGAGCAACTACTAAATGTAAGTAAAAGAGGGCCAGGGGTGGGAGGTAGGAGGCCAGCAGGCACAGGGAGAGTTGCTGGCATGCATGGGGCCTGCCAGGTGCCTTACCTCCCTTGGGCTGTGCCAGCTGGTGGCCCAACCGGTGGTCGCCCTGTGCCCTCGCTGCCGCGTGCCATGGCTGCCCAGGAGCTCCTGGACCTGCCTGCCGCCGCACCAAACATGCGGTGGCCAAGGTAAGGCTAGCGGGGCAGCGGCGGGCACAGGGAGAGTTGCTGGCACGCGTGGGGACCGGCGGGTGCCTTACCTCCCTTGGGCTGGGCCAGCTGGTGGCCCAGCCAGTGGTCAGCCTGCATCGTCACTGCTGCTTGCCAGCTACGCCTTGGACAGCACAGGGGGCGGCACCACACATGCGTGGCGCTCACAGGCCGAGGCAGTTGCTGGGTGACGGCCTGCCCAGCATGCGCTCCAGCCGCAGGAGAGAAGGCGGAGCGTGCGCGCCTCCTGCTGCCCTGCCCACAGGGAAATACAGGTAGTCCTCGACTTACGATCACATGGTTGGGGGTCGCAGCATTAGGAAAGTTGAGAACCACTGATCTAGTGTGTTTTAAAAGGTTGGATGGATTCATACTTCTATGCCCAATCTCAAACATAAATTGCAGAAGGAATATCAGTTCCCCCAGTTATGACAATCTGCATATTCAGGCAAAGCTTGGTGAATTTCACAGGTCACCTATTTTAAAATCAATGAGTAGATTAAATAAAAGAAATCCCCATGAGTATTTGGATGAAAAGAGGTCTCATGAAAATCTGCTGAAAAGACCGTACAAATCACCCAATGTCCTACAAGTGGCACCCAGAACAAAAACAACTGAAAATGCAGAGGGGATTCAAGAGCTGGACATCCAAAAGGCATTACATACAGCAATTACAGAAGCTTCTAGTGACATCAGCCTGGGGACTAAAAGCCCTCTGGAAGCGTTGAAGAGCCACCAGAATATGATACAGAGAGATCACAGGCTTGAAAATATCCAAGAAAAAAAGACTTAGCTGTTAGGTTCCCAACAAACAGGCAAAGATTATCAGAAACTGTTGGAAAACTTGTTGGAGAGCAAATAAAACCTCCTTCAGATACAATGGTTGAAACATGGGGCAAACCTCCAGGGCGAAAAGGGCCTGTGAAGGTTAAGAGGCAGCCACAGGTGTCTCCCAAATAAAAAATGACAGACAATGTAGAGAAAAATTATGATATCCAAATGAAAGTGGCTACAGGAATTTCAGAAGCTTCTGGTGAGAGCAGCCTGAGGACTAAAAGCCCTCTGGAAAGGTTAAAGAGCCATCAAAAAATAGTAGAGAGAGATCCTTGGCTTGGAAAAAATGTTTCACATATTCTGGCTGAAAAACCAAGGAAGCCTGAAGCGCTTCTTGACCCTCAGGAATCAAGAAAGGAAAATCTTCTCAGACATTTGATAATTGGAGGAAGCAGTTCCAGAAGTCCTAGTGATCTGTCTGAGACTTTGAATGAACTGTTGCCTGAGGAAATGTTATCTAATGAAGCGCATTGGGAGTATCAGGAAGAAACCACGTCTGCTCTCCTGTTGTCTGATTTTTCCTCAACCACTGATAACTCTTTGCTTCAGGGGGATGTCTTTGAAGCTGAGGGGCAAATACTCTTGGCACAGCTGATCCTCAATGAACGCATCGGGAACCTAATTTCCCACTTGATCCGTTTAATCAAAGTGGATTGCAGAGAACTAACTACCCAGAACTCTTGTGCTTTTCTCATCTCTAAAATAGGTCTTGTCATGAAACTGTACAATAAGAGAAAAAGCATCCAGGAGGCATCTGCTATGGTGAAATCCTCCTTGTTGCTGGGTCAAAATGTAAAGAATATTGTTATGTATTAATATTGACCGTTATTGTGTTTGGATTTAAATGTGTCTCCAACTGTCTTGGAGGGAAACTGAAGTTTATATTCTGAGCTTTGAATTTGATTTGTCGCCCCCTAGTGGCGGCACGTAGAAATATTTGTTGGTCTGTCGGATCTAATGATACGGTTTTAAGAAAACTAGATTGGCAGAACTGTTGCTTTTAAAGAGTAAGGGTAAGTGGGCCCAAATACACTTTTTTTTTTTAGAAGGGAGATTTTATATGGATCAGAGAACCTGCAAGAGTTGTGTAAAGGTGATAGCTGGTCTTTAAAGAAAACGGATTTACAGAATAATGGAATAGTCAAATATTTCCTGCAAAAGATGATGATGATGATGATGATGATGATGATGATGATGATGATGATGATGATGATGATGATGGATCATTGTCTCTGGCCTGAGTTATCAACTTAATTTCTACTTTTGAATTTTGACATGCTATTTTAAAGGATCAACATGGATATTGTAACAAATATCTAAAGATTTTTAATGCTAAATTTTGCAAAAATTTCCTAAACAATAATTGAAAGTGAAACTTGAATAATAATATTTTACATACTATTTGTAGTTACGTAATATTAAATAAAGATTTGCTTTAATCTTGATTTTTCTAGTAATCCATACATAGTAATTGCACATAAAGAAACTAATCTTCACCAGTTTACCTAATTCCTGGCTAGTTTTAAAAAATATTTTTCCTCTTACATATATGGCTTTCCCGATGTCCTAGCAGCAAAAATCCTTTTCCCATCTTTGTCTAAAGAGATTCTCAGTCATCCAGGTCATAATTGTCCCAAAGATGTTTATTCATGGGGCAACTGAAAAAAAGCCCCCAAAACAAAACAAAAAACCAGGAAAGTTCAGTTGCCTCGTGAAAAAGCATCTTTGGGTTTTCCCATCTATATTTATCGGACTACAGTTTGTCATAATTTGTAAAAAATTTTCTTTATAAAATATACAGTTTTTGTTTACTGTAATTTAACAATTCCAAAGTGAGTTTATTAAGAACATGCATTTATAAGACTGCCTATGAGGTTTTTTTCTGGTATAGCTACTTTTTTTTAATTCAATGGGTATTTGTCAGGTTTTGTGGGGCTAATAGATGATTTGGCACACAAACTTCAGATTCTTCCATCTCTGGTATTCAGCAGACAAGATGGATGGCAAAAAAGTTGTCAGGGAAAGTTACAAGACTGCATGAACAGGAACAACAATTCTGAACCTTGCCTTTGTCATACTTTGAATTAAACAGGATTGGTAAGGGCCTCAGGTATGGCAAAGTATAAACCAATAATAAACTTGGATTCTAAGTTCAAGATAATAAAACATGGTAAAAACATGTTATGGATTAGTAAACTAGCTTCAAGCTATGGGTTTAGATTAGAGTTGTTGCTAAAATTTTAGAGGTGTGATGATATGGGTTAAGACATTCAAATTAAGCAAATTCTAGCTTAGCATTATCTGAAAACTAAGCTGTTATAGAACAGTCTGATACATACTGATGAATAAAAGTTGCCCTCTAATCATTAGTCAAGATCAGTGGTTCTCAACCTTTTTAATGCCGTGACCCCCAACCAGTCGTAAGTCGAGGACTACTCAACCGATTGTAAGTTGAGGACTACTCAACTGGTGCAGCACCATTTGCAAAATGGGACTTTTGGCGGGCTCAGCAGGGCAGAGACAGCCTGGACAATTCCTATTGGCTTTTGAAAGCCAATAGAATTAGACTCTATTCAAGAGAGTCTATTCTATTGGCTTTCAAAAGCCAATAGAATAAAAGGGAGTAGCACAGCTAAGGAAAAGGGGAAATAAATGGCAGACTGCGTTGTTTGGCGACCCCCGTGAAATGGTCGTTCGACCCCAAATGGGGTCCCGACCCACAGGTTGAGAACCACTGGTCAAGATGAAGAAAATGTTGCAATACATGAAGGCCCATCTTCCATTTTCCTTCTCTTTGTTTAACCTTGCAGGTACCAAAACAGGGAATTCCACAATATGGGCACAGCAACACATGGCTGGTGACTATTTCGGCGATACCGGTGCTAGTAATTATTATTGCAGTAATTTATTTGAGTTAAGATAAACTATTTTTCTAGAGATCTTTATATTAATTTATGTATCCATTATATCTCAGGGTCCAGTAACAAAAAGATAAACTTCCCCAAACTCTCAATATACTGCTTTAATGAAGAGCTAGCATCTCCTTGAAGACCGTAACTCAGGGAGACCACATTACTGCAGTCAGAATTTCATAGGATATATTCAACCACAAAGAGCCACAGCAGATGTGGCAATGATATAGCAACATCACAAGAAAGGGTAGGACTGATTTTTCAATTTATTTTATTCAGCACATTTTCAGTATAAATCCATTCAGTATATTTTTACAATATAAGTAAACTTATTGGTAAGGGGGACAAATAGGGTAACTAAATGGATGTATTGAGTCTGGATTCATTCCATCATTAATTCTGATAGGGAAGATCTGGCTGGTGGACTTGATTTGGTCCATAAAACCTTCTTATGAGGCTTATCAAAACCATGTTGGAGGCTGTAGACTTTTTTACCTCAGAAGATGAAGAAAAAGAAGAGTTTCTGATTGAGAAACAGATTAAAAGACATTATTCTTTTTCCTCATTGTGAAAAAAATCTTTATATTTATCCCTCACAACCACACCTCTCTTTTCGGATTAAACAGATTCATTTCTCATTGCTCTTCAAAAGGAACAGAAGGAATCCCTCAGGAAAAGTAGTAACTCTTGCTTGGGGATACTTAATTATTTGCAACTCTCTACTCTGAAAATTGTGTTTATGAGGACCAGTCTAAAGTTTAGGTGCAAAAGAACCTATTCATTTCACTTCCATAAAGCAAATTTGAATCCATAGGTTGCTGCATGTAAAAGTTGGAAATACTGAAAATATTGCTAAATCCTCTGTTTTTTGCTGGCTAAATCTGTATGTATAGCATTGGCTTCCTGTTGCATTCTTCAGCTGGTCCCATATCCTTTGTTCTCCATTCCTCTTGGTAATTTTAAACTATTTTTAGTGCTAAATGAACACAAAACTTGAGATTGCCAGGAAGGCAGGCATGCTAACATAGTAAAATGTAAGGAAAATCTCATACAGATATGTGTGCATTCTTGAAGCTTTGGAGACAATTGCCGGTGTATATTTCAGCATAAGAAACAATTAAGGCTTCTGCTGGTTTCTGGATATTGCTTGTACACGCACAGAAGAGTCTTGTGACTGAAAAGGCCTTTTGAGCCCATTTTGAGAAACAGAAATAAATACATCTTTCGTTTAAATGATGTATAGTCCTCTGATACAGAAATGCATGTCATATTTGGTTTGAACATTGTCAAAAGAGTTTTATCTAGGCTAAGACTTTGCTATTTTTCTCTTTAATTGTTTCTTTAAGGACATTTCTGTGTAGGAAAAAAAAATGCACCCCCCCAAAGGTATGTAAATGCAGAAGCAACCACTAGTGATCTGGGGGCTATTCAATTATCTTATTAGATCTAAAAAGCATGCCTCCACATTTCCATAAGTATCACAGATGTGGCTTAGGCAAGCCTGAATTATCTAATATTAAGAATAATAATACAAATTAGTGTGACTAACCTAACTAGATCAATCTAAAGGATACTTTGGTTCAATGCACCTCTAACCAGCCAAATACCCTGCATGAATGATAAAAACAATGATGTACTCTTGCCAGACACTGTCACTGCACATTACAATTCCATTCCTTGCCATCACTTGTGGTAGCCATAGAAAGGAAAACATAAACAGGCTATCAGAGCAGCATCAGATTATACGGGTGGTGGGATGCAGCAAATAATAACAACAGCAACAACAACAACAGCAACGTTGGAACAGACCTTGGAGGTCATCTAGTTCTAGTCCAACACCCTGCTCAGGCAGGAAACCCTATACCATTTCAGACAAATGGCTGTCCAGTCTCTTCTTAAAAACTTCCAGTGTTGCAGCTACTATCAACATTAGTTGAAAGTTTGGTATGTGGGGTGGAATGTGTTTTTTTAAAAATGGGTTTTACTATATGGTGGATTTTTAAATTTTTTGCAAGCTCTGGAATCACTTATCAGTGAGTTACATAAATTTGTTTAAATAAATAAATAAAAATATAATCATTTTATTTGGGGAGTATATTAAACTCAGTGAGACTTACTTCTGAGTAAATACGCTTTAGGAGTGAGTTGCAGTGTTTGACATACCTTGGCTTTTACTTGGTAAGTCATGTCTATAGCCATTTTTGTGCTCCCTCTAAATTGTGTTTTAAAGTCATCTAAGCCAGGCTGGACAATCTCTCCATGTTGACAGTAGTGTGGATAAAGATGGCAGCTTCCCAGCCGTTCCTCCTGAATTTGCCAGTTTCCGCTGCCTCTCACCATTTCTTCTGGATCCTGTAAGCCAATCAGTTGTCTTAAAGAACAGGAGGCACCCTGATTTTCTGCCAACACACAAGTAATTCAGAACCACTCTCGCTTCTCTCTGCAGAGGGAGAAGAAGGCAGTTGTCACAGCCAACAGTCTTGAGCCCAGCCTGTCCTACACCTGTGATTTCTAGATGACTGACAGTTTGAAATGCCCTAATATATACTATGGTATTTTAAAAAAAGCAGTTTTGAATCATATTGGTAGACATTTTAATGACATAATTCCCACGATCAGAAAAGTATTTATGGAATAAACCAGCATGGCTGAATTCATAAAGCTTGAAGAGAAAATGTGATTAATTTGTAATTAAAGTGTGATGTGTATTGAGTCAAATGTATAAAGTATGTCTTACAATTTTGTATATTTTGTGTATTTTTCTATTATTCCTATGGGATCTTTGTAAAAGAAGAGTTTTGCTATAACTAGTTGTGATGTATTAAATATACCCATTAATTTGGGAGATAGCATGCATGAAGCAAGAGTGTTTTTTTTTTTAAAAAGATCCCATAGGAATAATAGTGATACACACAATTCACATAAACCAGAGTTGTATCGACCAGATAAATTGATAAAATCTCATTCCCGTATAACATTAAGGTATATATTTATTTCATAGATCATAACTAAACCCCAATTAAATAATGTATATTAAGCATTACACTGCTTGTAAAGTTTAGGAATGCTAAGGCCAGCAGAAAATTTTTAACTAATAAATGGCAGAGACCTGTGTATTGAAGATTTATTAAATAATGTAGCAAATAGCCTTACTGCAAAAAGTTCATAGAAATATCTGACCAAGCAGCGGATTTCTCCTGAAATCTTTACTGCTTTATAGTCTAAAGCACTGTAAGAAAGAGGCCATGGCTGGATTTCCACAATCAGGCTGCTACTCCTGTTCAAGCAGTGTCTCAGACATGACCAGGAAGCTTCTGTAAATTATGGAATGTAGAAATTACAGTGTTTTTCTTGCGTTCATCTCTCCTTTAATCAAACAGCTTTTGCAAAGTTGTGTATTATATTTACTTGTAAAATCTTCATGGCTACAAACCAAAAACAAATGAATTGTAAATAAATAAAACTAGTAAATCTTTTCCTCTGTTTTAAATTTCTAAAACACAATTACTATATTCCTCTCTAACTCAAATGGATAAAAATATAAAGAAATAATAGAGATTTTTTTCTCTAGATTTTCTTTTATGTGGCTTCATTATTGTAGGACCACACAATGTACTAAGAAAGGTATGTTAAGTGGATTTGAAAAATTGGCTTCGAGCTTCAATGATTTTAGGTTGTTTTCCTATGTTTGTCAGATCTACATCTCCTCAGAGAAAACATAAGTCCTTTCTGAAAAATCTAGTTAGCAACATTGCAATTCAGGAAGGGAACATAAGAATTTGCATATGTACAACTGACATTCCAGATTTTCTTAATATATCCAGTTTGGGGAATCATATTTTCTAATGTATGCTAAAATATATAATGATGTTTTCAAATTAGCTTGGTTTAATAGTACCTGGAAATGCAGATTTAAAAGTCAATGGCTGTTTTCTAGCAAAGAAACTAGTATTTGGCAACAGAATTATCTGTACTACTCAGGACAAAAAGTGCTGCAAGGTGAGCAATAAAGCTAAGTTGGCAAACTAGTGGAAAAGATTCCAGGACTGTTGAGAAAGGATAGGAAATGAAAAACAAGCAAACAAACAGAAACTCAAAAGACTCCTTAAAATATCTTAGTAGGCAAAATAGTATTGTGTTCTGCTTATTTTGATACAAGAATACGGTATGCATCCTGATTTATATAATCAATTCCCAGATAAGATCCAGAGATTATAGTGTGTTTTATTCCTAAGTAAATTTACATTTGGATGCCATGGTAAGAATCCTTCCAAACACTGGTTTATTAGGAATAAACAATATTCTGTTTTTTTAGTTGCACTCATTTTATTCCTCCTACCTATTGCAATAACTTTTATTTAGCACAGCTACTTGTTTTCTGGGACATAAAAATAGTCATGCATTACATTTATTTATTAAACAAATTTATATAACCACCCATGTAGGTAATTCCAGGCAGCTTTCAACATTTATTAATGCCATAAACAATTAATTACATTCAAGCATGTCAAGAAAGAGAAGCCAGAGCACTGTAGTTCTTGTTGGAAGGCAAACGAGGCCTCTGGAAGCTTGCTTTACTGCTCTCCTTAGGGCTTCACTTCTCTCTTTCCCTATCCCTACCATAGATAGAAAGCAGCTGTTGTGAGAAGATTCAATGGTTGGTTTCCAAGCCCTCTTCTCTTAGAGTGGCTGGCTACCAGAGTGTTGTTGAAATTGCTTCTTATCCTGTGTTGTATATGTAGTTCAGGGGTATCAAACTCTCAATGTCATGTGACATGTCGTGATGTATTGCGACTTTTTTGTCATTGCCAGCAATAGGGTGGGCGCGATTTCGCTATGATGTATCCGTCCCGCAGGCCAACAGTTTGACACCCCTGATGTAGTTGCTCTCTTCTGCTCTTTTCTGCATGATAACTACTCAGCATGGCGGAAATTAAACAGTTCTGAAATATGAAACTCTTGCTCTTCTCAGAAAAATAATGGCACCTCAATATACATTTATTACTTTAGATCAGGCATATCAAACTGCTGGCCCGCGGGCCAGATGTTGTCACGCCAAAACCGTGCCCACCCCATTGCCAGCAATGGGGAAAAAGTCGTGATATATCACGCAATATCACGTGATGTTACGAGTTTGACATGCCTGCTTTAGATTGAAGCATCTGAGAATAAGGATCTACTAT